ATAGGAAGGATAAATCAATAACTAAGGAGATTGGTTACCTATCGAGGGTGGGTGGATTTGGGGTAGAAGTGATTGTTGGGGATGGTGAGACATCTTTAGGCTTACCTTTTGGAACCATGTTAATTAAAGGAAAACTGTTTTTCTACTCACACCACTCCTGATACCAAGTCTGTGGGTTTTCTTTTCTGGTTTTTTGTTGTTTTATGGACGTATAGTTGACATACAATATTATATAAGTTTCAAGTGTACAACATAGTGATTCAACATTTATATACGTTATGAAACGATCACCCTGACAAATCTAGTAACCATCTGTCACCATACAAAGTTATTACAATATTATTGACTATATTCCCTATGCTGTACATTACATCCTCGTGACTTATTTATTTTATAACTGGAAGTTTGCACCTGTTAATCCCCTTCACCTATTTTGCCCACTCTACCCACGCCTCTCCCCTCTGGTGACCACCAGTTTGTTCTCTGTATCTATGAGTTTCTGTTTCTGTTTTGTTGTGTTTTTTAGATTTTATGTATAAATGAAATCATACAGTATTTGTCTTTCTCTATCTGACTTATTTCACTTAGCATAATACCTTCTAGGTACATCTAAGTTGTCACAAATGGCAAAATTTCATTCTTTTTTATGGCTATTATTCCATTGTGTGTGTGTGTGTGTATGTATATATATATATATATATATATATACACACACATACACCACATCTTCTTTATCCATTTATCTATCAATGGACAATTAGGCTGCTTCCATATCTTGGCTATTGTAAATAATGCTGCAGTGAACATAGGATGCATATATCTTTTCAAATTAATGATTTCATTTTCTTAGGATAAATGCCCAGAAGTGGAATTGCTGGATCATATGGTAGTTCTATTTTTAATTTTTTGAGGAACCTCCATACTCTTTTCCATAGTGGCTGCACCAATTTACATCCCCACCAACAGTGCACAAGGGTTCCCTTTTCTCCGCATCCTCGCCAACACTTGTTGTTTGCTGTGTTTTTGATAATAGCCATTCTGACAGGTGTGAGGTGATAGCTCGTTGTGGTTTTGATTTGCGTTTCCCTTGTGATTAGTGATGTTGAGCATCTTTTCATGTGTCTGTTGGCCATCATGGGTGGGTTTTCTACATCAGACAATTCTCTAGTTCTCTGCAGACACCAACTAGTTGTCCTACAATTTAATTCAGTTCTGACATGAATTACCTGGAGTTAGTGCAGACCCCACAGGTTAATTCCTACAAGACTGCCCTCGTTTTCAGACACCAATTGCAAGTAGTGGGTCCCCACGTTACCCACACTTCTGTCAGACTTGCCCATAAATCGGGGTTCCTATGACCCTCTCCTCAGGTTTGATAATTTGCTGTAACGGTTCACAGAACCCAGGGAAATACTTTACTTACTATTACCAGTTTATTGTAAAAGATACAAGTGATCAGCCAGATGGAAGAGGTACAAAGGGCAAGGTCCAGAAGGGTCCCAAGCCCAGGATCATATGTCCCTGTGGAGTTTGGAGTACACAGGGTTACACCACCCTACTGGCACGTGGATGTGTTCACCAGCCCAGAAGCTCTGCAAACCCCTTTATTTAGGGTTTTCATGGAGGTTCCATTACGTAGGCATGCTTGATTAAATTGTTGGCCATTGGTAATTAGCTCCATCCCTAGCCCCTTTCCCCTCTCTGAAGATGTAGGGGAAGGCTGAAAGTTCCAAGCTTCTAATCGTGGCTTGGTCTTTCTGGTGACCAGCCCCCATCCTGAAGCTATCCAGGAGCCCACCAAGAGTTGCCTCATTAGAACAAAAGACGCTCATATCATTCAGGAAATTACAAGGGTTTTGGGGGCTCAGTGTCAGGAACTAGGCAGAGACTGAATGTATATTTCTTATTATGGCACATAATGTTTAATCTGCTACTTTGGGAGGGACCTATGGAATATGAAGAAAAACGAATGAACCTAACTGTATTATTCAATGGTACAATATAACCACACCAAAGGGGGAAGGGATGAGAACTAACCCAAATAGCTTTTGAACACAGTACTTTACCTCAGTCTAAAGAACTACAAACAAATATTGAACTATATAGTTAGAAGATTTATTTTTCTTAGTAATATGGAATAGCAATTTTGAAACTACTTTCTGTGTATCATAGGATTGAGTCAATGAGTAAAAGATATTGAGGATATTGTGAACCAAATTTCTTACTGTTAGAGAAGGGAGTTATAAATGGAAAAGGGGAAGATTAGAATGAACTCTGTGGTGTTGCATTGGAATTGGAGATATTAATATGAACTCATGGTTTTTAACACAGATATTAGATGGAAATAGATATATGTGTGTGAATATTTGCTTATGTTTACATTTATATTCCTTTATCCACTGAAACGGAGCTTAGAAGAAAGATACTTCAATAGTACTGAGCACTCCTAGTTCTAAGATCTTGGTTTCTAAATACCATTCTCCACTGAAAGGAGCCAAGGGTCCTTGGAGAAATGTATAATTCCGGTGCTGGAGCAGGGACCATACCAGTTGAGCCTGAAATATCTTTTACCAGAAAACAGAACTGCTCAAAATGATGGGAATATGTCAAAATGACATAAAAGCTGGTTTGAAGGGGCTCCTATTGGCCAAATCTGGGATGATATGAGCATCAAAATAAGTAATGATAGGGCCGGCCCCGTGGCTTAGCGGTTGGGTGTGCGTGCTCCGCTACTAGTGGCCCGAGTTCGGACCCCGGGCGCACACCGACGCAGTGCTTCTCCAGCCATGCTTGGGCCACGTCCCACATACAGCAGCTAGAAGGATGTGCAGCTGTGACATACAGCTATCTACTGGGGCTTTGGGCAAAAAAAAGGAGGAGGATTGGCAATAGATATTGGCTCAGAGCCGGTCTTCCTCAGCAAAAAGAGGAGGATTAGCATGGATGTTAGCTCAGGGCTGATCTTCCTCACAAAAAAAAATAAATAAATAAGTTATGATAGTAACAGAATAGTCATGGAATAAAACAAGAATCAATAGATCCACCATTTTGGGCCGGCCCCGTGGCTTAGCAGTTAAGTGCGCACGCTCCGCTGCTGGCGGCCCGGGTTTGGATCCTGGGCGCACACCGACGCAGTGCTTCTCCAGCCATGCTGAGGCCACGTCCCACATACAGCAACTAGAAGGATGTGCAGCTATGACATACAACTATCTACTGGGGCTTTGGGGGTAAAATAAATAAATAAATCTTTAAAAAAAAAAATAGATCCACCATCTTAACCAAGTAATCCAAATTACTATCACCAGTAATGAGGCAGGTGTAACCTGACGTGTTTCAAGAAGACACATTACTTCTGTGGTATTCCTGCAAAAATGCATAACCTGACTCTAATTATGAGGAAATACAACAAACCAAAATTAAGGGGCGTTCTATAATATAACTAGTCTGTACAAAAGGTTGAGAAACTGTTTCAGATTATAGGACGGTAAAGAGACATGACAACTAAATGTAATGTGTGATTCTATATTAGGTCCCAGGTCAGGAAAAAAGGGGAAAAACCATAAAGGAGAATATTGGGACAGTTGACTAAGTTGGAATATGGGTTGTGGGTTAGATAACAGTTTGTATCAATTTTGAATTTCTGGATTTTGGTAGATGTGCTGTGGTTATGTAACAGAAAAGTCCTTGTTCTTAGGAGATGCATCTCAGCAATTGTTGGAATTAATCCTAAAGAAAAAGGATTAGGCTTGTGTGCTAAGGTGAAAATACTGAATTATTCTTGCTGTGAATAGTTGCTATGAATAGTAGCAAAACTTTGGAAACAAAGTTGCTTAAATAAATTATGGCACATTCATACAGTGAAATACTATGCAGCCCTTTAAAACTATGTTGTAAGTCTATATTTACACAGAAAGATGTTTCTAGTATATTAGTGAAGGTTTTTTTGGTTGCATGAAATAGACCAACTCAGGTTACCTTAAATAGCTGGGGTAGGTCGTAGAAGCAAAGGAACAGCTGAGAAATCCCTAGAAAGGGAGAGACAGCTCTGAGGAATCTCAGCCTTGAAGTTCAGGGAACCTTCCATCTTCCTAGGGCACTGTCATTAAAGTGACTTAACTCTAGGACCTGCAGTTTCTTGATTCAGTTTAAATTCCCCCCAAAAAGGATCTGATTGGTCTGGCTCTTAGAAGGGGCACAGCTACATAGCACAGATTGGCCTTTAAGGATGGTTTACATGTGGATTGGGCCCATTGCTTGAGAAGAGGAACTTGTTTGTTGTGAACTAGGAAGCCATCTCAGTTGTTACCTACCTCAGTAGGATTTTGTAAGCGTTACAAAAATCAAAGCACAATACAAAATACTGTGTACAGTATGATCCTATTTTGTAGAAATGTAGAGTGAGTTTTGGGGTGGGAGTGGAGAATTGAGTTCAGTCTGGATGTGTTAATTTTGAGATTCCTATTAGACATTCAAGTGGAGAGCTGCAATTCTTTTGTGGCCAAAGTATAGTAACATCAGTCCTTAGATTTTTCTGGATCAAAATTAGCCCCTCTGTTCCTGTGGCATAGAACTGAGGGGTCTCAACCAAGTGTTGTTTCAGACAGTTAAGCAAATCCTAAGCTTCTTTTCTTGAAGAATAGTGGGTGCCCTCTAGGCACGTGTACAGCACTCACTCTGCTTGGAGGTGGGAGTTCCTGCCTGGCACAGGTGCCTGTTAGACTCTTTACCCTCCCGCCACCCCCATCTCTATCAGCTCCTTTTCTGATGTGTTAAGCAGTCACACAATCCTTCTGGGCTTCATTTTTCTCCTCTGTAAAGTTGTCCTCGACGACTTCTTTTGTCTCTGTTTTGATTTTGATTTTTAATTGTTATAACACAAATGATAAATAAAAATAACCAAAATATCCCCTTTTCAACTGTTGAGGCAGTGATAGTTGAGTCCACGGAAGTAAACACTTTCAGAGCCAGGAGCTAATAAATGCAAATGTTTACTCTTTCAGATATCCATACGGAAGCAGTTCAAGCCGCACTGGCAAAGCATAAAGAACAGAAAATGGCTTTGCCCATGCCAACCAAAAGGCGGTCCACATTTGTCCAGTCTCCTGCGGATGCCTGCACACCTCCCGGTAGGTTTATCAGAACCTTTCTCTCTGACAGTTGCTGCTTTGATGTTCCTGAAATAAGTTCTACTCTTTCTTTTCTAAGATAGGAGCTGGAACGCTCTCCTCGTCATCAGAGGTGTATAAGAGTATACGTTGAAGGTGGCAAGTTTTGGTTGTTGCATTGTAAACAGCACACACAAAGAGGCCTTAAGAGTAAAGCTATTAAAAAATTTTTTTTTCCTTCTGAATTTTCAGCATATTCTTGCTATAACCCCCAAATTCGTGTAGTCATAAATAAATGCAGGCTAAAGCTTAGGATCTAAAAAAATACTGCTGTGATTACATAGCTGTTTTCACTGACATCCAAACTATGACCTGTAGTCATATATTTCTTTAACAAATTTCTACTCCTAAATCAGGTGCTTTGTCTGCAATAATCATAGGAATAAGTGGACTTGGGACAAAATTTTGTGTGTCATTAGAGATGATGGGAGAGCAGTCGTGCAGAGTTGTAATGGATTAAAACATATGTGTTTATGTATTTGTGTTATTATATACATTAATACATAATACATATATATTATGTATACGTTGTGTCTATTTAAGAATCCACTTGTTATAATGGACTTGTAAGATCTAAATGTCTTCATCCCATCCCCATTCCCCAGATTTGGAATCCTTACTCCCCCTAAAGTAAATTTGAGAGTTATAGCTTCATATTTGAGGAGCAACTGGAACAACTTTGATTTGTCATGTCTATTCAGAATCTCTCCCGAAGTTTTTAAAAACCGTAAACAATTGTTTTTAGATGAAATTTCAGACAAGATCTCAATCTAGGCCTCTGAGACTAAACATAGTAAATCTATTTCAGAGCATCAGTATAGTGTCTGTCTCCCTCCTGTCATGTTACTGGCAATGAAATCTTTCGGGGGAAACAGCTTCCTCATCCTGTTTTGGTCTAAATGACTTACTGTGTCTTTTTGGGAGAGTCCCAGGAAGGTTATGTCTTTGTGGTTGACTTGGATTCATGGCTGTCAAGTTGAGCTATTCACACCGATCCTATTCCCTGGTCTAGGTTCATGTTAATAGTTTTCTCCTAGGTTTTGGCTAACTTCTCAGAGCATTTGAGTGTGCTGTGGGCTCATTAACTGTTTGTGCTTTTTTTCTTTACATCTGTGGTGTCAATATGTTTGAAAGAGAAATAGCTCTGTGGCTTCAAGTGTTTCTCAAAACGTAACACGGGATACCTCTAGCAGACCATCACAATAAGATATTTTGTGTCTATAATGGTGCATACTTCCAGCCCACTCATTCAGAATCTTGGATGGTTTCCCTTCCACATTAGTACAGCACCAGTTGGGTCCCCGTGGACAAAGGAGGCTCTCAGTTTAGTAGCTATTCCTTGGCAGATTCTGCTGCAGCACAGCTGAAGGTTCAGTTGTAGTAAATGGCAAAGGGTAGGGAGCGATGTGACTTGTAGTTCTTAGAAACAATCCTCTCCATAGCTGTATTAAAGAAATGCAGTTTCAGTGTAAGTAGTCTGCTCTCATGGCCTTGGGTTAAATGTGAGAGTGCAGCAAAGGATCTTGAGAATGCTCAGAAGGAATGGAAACCTTTTTTATCCCCTTTTACAAAAGTCACTGCCTGAGGGGAATTTACCAACTCTAGAAACAAATCATGGCTGTTCATTGCTGAATGAGACCATAGTCCTTTGGAATTCACTGCAGGCCTCTGTGTTTCTAAACACTAATGTTCTACTCTGTCTGCAGCCTTAAAGATGTGGCGTCATGTTCCTGATCACCTTACAGGTTTTAATAATTTTAAGATTGTAAAGATATGGTCCTCTCTCCTAAGAGCTCTGTTGAGCAGAGCAGAGTAATAAAAGGGTTTCCTATCCATTTATCTCCCGTTCTGGGGATCTCTGAATAGTATATGAGAAACCTTGGTGTGCTGTTAGGGACATCTGTGTTGTCAAATAGAAGAGGAATTCCCTCCCGTCGGGAAGAAACATTGAGAGTAGCCTACATCGTGATTTCTCTCGCAGTCCCCACATGGAGGTAGATCTTGATGCTCTCGATCAACAATTATGTACATAGGACATAATTGTTGGACAAATACTGTGCTCTAGTGTGGGGAATGTGGGAAGAACTGTATCATAAGGCGTCTGTTAGCACCTTTCATTTTAAGGGATGGAATTTGCTGCTCCCAAGTTAGGATTCAGATTCCATTCTCTCCAAGCTTCTGAGAGCCACCGGCTAGAGCTCTGGCTGTCTCCTGTTCCTGTTGCCGTTTACACTCGTATCACTATCTCCCGGAACCTGTTACAGGCTAGCCCAGGATGGCAGGTGGGTTTTTATCTTGCATATTTACTCTTATAGCCCCTGAAACACTGAAGTTTAGAAGAATGCTGAGGCTACACTCCAGGGGTAGGGCGAAAGAAGTGAATTGACACTAATTATTGCTGGTTATAGGCCTTTTTTAAAAAATCAGGTTCTGGGAAGCTATAAAAATGACCTTTCTATGACTTTCTTTCTAGAAAAATTATGCTACTTTTGCAGGGCAAAATTAACCTCAGATTTCACTATTTTAGTCATGTTTTCCTTTGTGCACTGAGAGGTCACACTGCACATCACAAAGCATGTTTCTGGTCAAGGCCCTCACTCTGCGTGTGCTGTCCGGTGTGAACCTGGTTTCTGGGACACCTGCTGGGCTGGCCAGCCAGTCTGCTTCTTTGGGAGGCGCTCAACACATGTTACTGATTTAGTGAATTGATGGCAATTTTGAGCTATTTTTGGAGGGATTTAATAAAAAGGATTTAAGTGGGGCCATCCCGGTGGCACAAGTGGTTTAAGTGCGTGTGCTCCACCGCGGCGGCCCGGGTTCCGCAGGTTCCGATCCCAGGCGCACACTGACGCACCACTTGTTAACCCAGGCTGTGGCGGCGTCCCATATAAAGTAGAGGAAGATGGGCACGGATGTTAGCCCAGGGCCAGTCTTCCTCAGCAAAAAAGAGGAGGATTGGCATCGGATGTTAGCTCAGGGCTGGTCTTGCTCACAAAAAGAAAAAAAAAAAAAAAAGAAGGATTTAAGGAGTAAAATAACTCATAAATCTTGGCTTCATTTATAGTATTATATAGTCAGGAAAATATGGTAAATAGTTCGCATGGGAAATAATTTGTCTCGATCATAAATCATTCTCAAATTATAAACTGTCAGTCAACCTAAAATTTGCTTATTGATATGTACACTAATTTCTGTCTGGTGGATTGAAAACTTTAAATTCTCCAAGTTGGTAGCAATCGATGGTTCTTTTAGTGCCTGTGTCCTTTTCCACAGTCTTTTAGACTGCTTGAATTACTGCCATCCAGTTCCCTTTATGTGCTGAAATCATTAACTAATGTCATGAGGCAATTAGCTCAGCTCTTTCTTTGTAGGGGTTCTTTGTGTAACGCTATGACTCATTCATACAGATAAACACAATGCAGAAACTACAGCATATGTTTATTCCCCTCTAAGCTTTTTCTGCACCCATGTGGACTTAGCCTACACTGCATTCTGAGAGTGACCAGATAGACCACATAATGACCTAAAAGCGCAGCAAGCTATTTTGACTGGCTTGGGTAGAATGGAGCTTCAATTTAGACATTTGTCTCTCCCAGGGTCCTGCTTGAGAGTGACTATAGTAGTGATTCATAGGGCCAGGCGAGGAGAAATTTACCTCCCTCTATTTCTCTGATGCCCGTGCACAGCCTGGGATATTGTTATACTTTTAACATACTCTAGTAATGCTTCATGGCATTATAGTACATTACAGTATATAAAGGACTTGCACATACCCGTGGCAGCCCTGCCTCACTTGTTCCTCATAAGCACTGTGTGAAGTAGAAAGGGCAGATTTCTTCAGAGATGAGAAAACAAACAGTTTCATAGTCACTAAGTGATTTGCCCCAGGTCAAACAGCAATTGTGTGTCAGACTCAAGTCTTCTTGATTTTGTTTTTTACTCTTCTAAAGTGTCATATTTGGAAAATCATTTTTTACTTAATAGATATTCATATATGAGTGGTACTCGAATGGTTATTATTCCAAACAAATTGAAAGCTATTGCCTTCCGAGAGGTTATAGCCCAAAGCACGTTATCAGTCAATTTGAACTTAAAAGATTAATTTGAATTTAAGAGATTACCTGTCTGAATTACCAACCTGGGCAGTTTTTCCCAAATATTCTAATTTTGTTCAAAATTACAAAGTAAACTGAGCTGACAAATCAGACCTCTCTATAAATGTACTCTAATAGATTTGGATCATTTTAATAGTGTACTTTCATTATTGGTCTGGGTTTGAGCAATGGTCCGCAATTACTTGGGAGACTAGTAAATATTCAATATTCTTTAAGCCAAAGTACAATAAAACCCCATTCTATCAAATTGAATTCGTTTATTTCAATAGCTGATTGTAAAATTTAAGGTTGGCCAGTAAAAGTAATTTCATAGTTACCATTTGTTGAGTACCCTGTGTGTACTAGTCAAAAGGCTAAGTGCTTAACATATATTTTTTCATTTTTAGTTCTCTTGACAATCCTCTATCCCATTTTACAGATGAGAAAACAGGTTTAGAGAGGCTCAATAACTTGCCCAGACTTCCATTTCTAGCAGTGTGGTCAATTAGGTAACTTGAGAATTCTCTCCTAGACACAGGGGAAAGAAAACTTCCCTTAGAAATGCTAGCTAAAATATAACCAGCTTCCTCTTACGTACATACTGGAGCAAGAGAGAGAGAGAACGGTCACTGAAAATCAGAGTGGTGAGAGGGGGCTCACTTTGACTGCCCTGAGGGGAGGGGAGGCAGAAAACAAGGGACCTACATTTTAGTTACCCTAAGGGTAGAAAAGATGAAACTTTGGACCTATATCAGGTTGGAAGCTGGAATCGAGATCCCTGGAAAGACTTATATCTTCAGCAGAAGAGTGACTTTGAAAAATTAAGCTGCCAGCAGAAGATGTTGTCAAGAAAGCTTGCCTTGTGCC